ATTCAGACTTGTAGGGTGGTGATGTTCTTTACCCGAATCTTCTCTTAGTTGAAAGAAGTCAATGAACGAATCCATTTTTTCTCCAAGTAGCCTATAAGTGGTGAGATTTGTAATTATTCTGACAGCTCTGTCACTTGTGTCACAAACGAAGATAGTCTCGCCAAACGAAGCAAGTGAAGACGCCGAGTTGAAGGCAACTGTGTTGCCGTCCTGGAAACCCTGGACGGTTCCCAGAGAGTACGTTATACGTGACTCTTCTTCGATGAAAAAGTTTACTGTGTGGTCTTGGCAACCTTTCCTCTGTACTTCCGATGCCCGAGAATTGACGAAAGATTTTTCTTCAACACAATTGACATCTGTAAAGCCTCGTTTTGCCAACGGATACGTTTAATTCCGTAGTTATGTAGTGACACAAGGAGGCCCTGTGGATCTTGATAAATGCAAAGCGGTTGACCTGTTGGAAGTTCCAAAAGAATCTCCACGTTCGCCTTATAGCACTTCTGGTCAAGTGCAAAGGTAAAATTTGACGCCTTACAAATAGTCTTCTTGTCAAAACTGAGTAGGAGGAAAGAAGTGTTCTCGGTAAGTTCTTCACCCTCTGAACTAGGATTTGTTGTTATAGAAACCACGCGTCCAAAATCAGTAGTTTAATAGTCAGTGTTTGACCGAAAAGAAACATCGTAGACCTTAACTTTCCCGGGGTTACTGTTTGAACTGCTCGCTGCGACAAGTTCTGTGGCATCGTCATCATTGGTGTCAAGTTGCAACAAGGCACGACCCTTATTCAACAGAGACTTGATATCAATGATCTTTAGGCAAGATGTGCGATCAGATGTTAATACTACCAACTTATCGTCTTTGACGACAATTCCTTGAGGACTGAAAACTCACGATTTTGCAACAACAACTGGGACAACACAGACAGGATTGTGCAAATTTGCCATAAAAACGTTTGACTTCTTTTCGTCGCAAATAAAGGGAAGGCTGTGCTTTGGAGAAAAAGTGATTGCAGATGGGAACTTGAGTAAGCTGTCTGCAGGATTTTGACGCCAATATCTATAGTGCTCAGGTATGAGGGTCGCAACAACGGGATCATCAGGCAATGCATTTAATAATTCTTTGCGGAAGATGGCGACAGCGGTATTCATGTCCATCTGATCTTTATTGCGCAAACAGCTCCGCGGAAGTACACTGGCGATTGGCTTGGATATGGCTTTATTCGCATCCCCACGGGCACAGCTTAACAACTTCAGAGTGACGAGATAATTTCCAAGAAAAGTCCAGTAATTAAATGAAGCACTTCTCACGAGTTTGAAAACATTAGGGGGATCTGAAATTGGAACTTTCTGATCTTGTTCTCGTTGAAGTTGCGTCATGTGAGCTCTTTGGGCAGCTTCGGAGTCAGAAACCCAGGACATCTCAAGCATACATGTACATACAAGACCCTTAAGCTGACAAGGTTTACATTTCCGTCTCATTGGTTCCGTCGAATCGTAACCAAGGGCAACACAAACTTCGCATACAACGATTTGGTCTTCACAAGCATCACAAGAAACAGCACAGTTAGAGCCACTCAAAAGACAGTTCTTACAGACCTGCAAACTCTCTTGAGTGTCTTGGTCATATCCCTTGATCCTAGCGGAGCCTCCTTTGGATGATCGGAAGAAACAGCCGACTGGAAAGGAAACTAATCTATCCAAACTTGCTACGCGAAACTCCTGAGCTTCACTGACAAAATGAAGTGATTTTAAGTACTTTAGAATATCCTCCTCACTCCTGGGGCATAAATCTTTCCCTCACTGAAATGTGAGAAAATAAGGATCCTCCAGTCCTATAACTCTGTGAAGCTGTGGGGCTTATCTTAATGCAGCCTTCAGTAGCATGCCATCCGTAGATTTATTGACAAGAAATACTTGGATATCAGTTTTCTGTGGCTCAACTGGCTGGACATTAAAGTCCACAGCAAGTCGAGCCTGCGAGACTGAGCACCCCAGCCAAATCCTTGTTTTCAGTAAAACCGCTGGACGTCAACTATGAAATACGAGTAAAGTAAGCTTTAAAACTGCTGATTGCGTGACGGAAGCGCTAAAATATTATAAAGCCAGGTTTATACTTTTTCAATAGACCTGAAAAGAGGTCTTTTTCGTTGCAAAACGAAGTATTCTAGTTTCTCATTAATAATGAAGTATCTGAAAAGCTCGATCCCTGATCCCTCAAAGACACACACAAAAAATGGCTGATCCTGATCCCATGACTTGTGACGCGGGATCCCGGGTCTATGATCCCGATCCCGGGACTGTGATCCCTGATCCCATATACCTGGTTACGACCCTGCATTTTCGAAGTCAAATGAACGTTTTAACTCCTGAAACCCGTTGTTCAGATTGTCTAACTTTCGTTCTAAGGGTTCTATTGCTTCTTTTAAAAGATTCTTAATCTCTTCTCATGTAATACCCATTTTTGCGCCGTTTTGGACGGAAGGCCGTTCAAACCCGACCGACCGCCATCACGGCAAATGCAAAATCCGGTATCTTGCGGCTTCCCCCAACTTGTAAACACAGAACTTGAAATTCGACCTTCGTCACACTTGACGAAACACAGCAGTCCAGCTCGTGGGAAAAAAACTTAGTTCGTCAAAAGAACTCGTTTGGAACTTGTATACCGTTTAACATAAGGTTCAAGAAAACACTAAACAGGCGAATAGTAGTAACTTTTCGACATATTTTATGATTTCAGTAACGGATGCAAATCTGCTGACTCATGCTGAAATGTAAACATGCCCTAATTAATTATTCATGAATAATCCAAAAACTTAGAGAACGTTCGAGAATGTCACGCAACGCATGACAGCAATTTTACTACGTAACACTTAAGAAAGACAAAATGTCCTTGTGCAGCCCATTTTGTAACTTTAAATTCATCATAAAACAGTTCGAAATGTTTTTCAACACTAGAAGAGAAATTTCGGGTCTCTGCGTTGCCACGTAATATCCTATATCCTCTATTTATTCCTCGAGTAAATTAAAGACTAAACTCGAAGTGGTCTCAAGATATCACGAAGTAGTCCGGTCTCATTTCGTGAAATAGCCGAAACAAGCCTAAAAGTCACGAACTTGCACGCCCAATCTTGTCCCGAAACTAGTGCATCATTTCATAACTATTTTTCATATTTCGAACTACCCTGGGTGGCAGTAGCGCAATCGGGTAATCCCTCAACTTAGAGTCTCCTCTGATCTGACGAGTCACACAGGTGAGTCGGTTCAAACCCCGGGAAAGCCAAAATAATAATTCTTTCTTCCTCCAAAAAGTTAAAGAAAAGATCAATGAAATCGAAGTGATCTCGAAATGTCTCGAACTAATTCGGCTCTCACTTCGTAAAATAGCCCAATAAAACCGAAAACCTACAGACTTCGCGTGCCCAATCTTGTCAAAAAAAGTCAACTTTGATACATTCCTGACCGTCGCGAATCCTTTACTTCGAAGTAATAAAACCATAAATAACGGAACCCCCTCCCAACCTTAACCGCCCTTTACCCCCCTCCCCATAAACAGACAGATAAGTATCACCCTTTACCACACTGGCTGGGAGGACATAAGATAGAGTATTGCGACTGTAAATATCTAAGATCCTTTTCTTAAAACTAGAAAGCGACTGATTCGTGTTTTTGATGTCTACTGGTAGCTTGTTCGATTCCAAGTAGCTATCCATCTATACTAAAATGAGTGTTTTAAATAGTTTTGGTTTGCATAAGGTACA